GCCTCATCCCTGGCAAACATTTAAACGCCCTTTATTAACACTATATACCTTACTTCGACTTTATGCCCTAGTAACCCAGACCCATGTTATTTCCCCCACTCCCATAGGGTTTCATGTTCCTGTTTTCATTTGCTCTTTTCCCTCTGCTGAAATCACTTCTCCCCCTTTGCTTCATCTCTTCCCTTAATACCTTAGCTTCATCCTTCAAGATGAAGCTGACATTTCTCTTCTAGGGGTTATTGCCCCAAAACTCCCTCCCCTGCATCCCCATGTCACTCTGGGCATGCGTCTGTCATGGCACTTGACCACATTATATTGAAATGAGTGGTTTCTGGATCTGCCTTCCCCCACTTGACTGTGCGCTAATCAAGGGCAGGGACCTGTTTTCTTTCCCTTGATAACAGTGCCCGGCACAGAGTAGGCAACCACAATGCATTAAACCAAAAGATGACAAGTGACAGAGACAAAAACAAATCACTCAACTTCTAATAAGCTTTGACCTTCTCAGCCAAAGAGAGCAACCCTTAGATGGATTCAAGTGAGGTAAAGGGGAAGCCAGAACTGGTGAGGAGAACGTGAAGAAATATATCCACTCTTCTAGCTGCAGAATCAGATGGCATAGGGGCTAAGAGCACATATCCAAAAATGGGGATATCAATTGTTTCTTTCTCAAGTGTTTGCTCTAAGCATATAAAGTAATAATCCAGGCAAAGAGCCTGACACACAGGAAACACTCAATAAACAGTAGTTACTTTTATTAAAGGCTCAGATGGAATTTTATAGGTGTTTTTGATTAGGATCCTCTCAAAGGAAGGGGAAGCACCTATTTATACTTTAAAAATAAGTCAATTTAAAGAAAAATATTAAGTCAATAACAGTGCAAGTGGTGGATGGGCAGGGCAAAATTTATAAAGACATTCTGTTGACAACTGAAGTCTGGCAAACAGAACTAAAAGGGCACTGCATTGAATGGTACATGGACTACATCTCTTCTAGCTCTGAAGGTCCATGACTTTGAAATCATTATGGATGTTCATCCCATTTACCATCCCTTCCTCTGTCCAGGCACTGTGATGAGCACTGAGTCTCACTATCTCGTTTAATCCACGCAGTAACTCTAACAGAGACACTGTTGCTAGCCTCTTTCCCTTGTGGCAGATGAGGAAACCAGACACTCATAGAGGGTACCTCACCTGCCTATGGTGACACACACAGTACAGGAAGGAACCAGCCTTCACACAGTTAGAAAGAGCCCAAGTATACAAATTATGGTCTGTGTCCACAGTGTGGGATTAAGCTGATGATTGAGGAATTTTCTAGTTTAGTCTAACTGAGGGCTCATCTGTAAATACTGCATTTACACGTGGATTTTCCCCTGTAGGACTCTGCTGCTTTATGTACTATTAGCTTTGGTCAAAAGTAGCTGGATCTTTAAACCAGCCACGGGACTGGCTGACCTGAGAGTCAAGTCCTTCAAGGCACTTTTTCAAATAGCAGAGGACGACATAGTGCTGTCAAGGCCTGACATCCAGACCAAGAGCTCCTTTCTGCTCAGGGTTATTTCTCAGGGCATGTTGTTGGGAGATGGGCACATTCCCCCAGCTGGCGGCTACACCAATGACCTTTCATGCCAGTTTAGCATAAATATATTTTGACATTTCAAACAAATTAATGTATTTTTACAAGGTGGGGCAACCACCACAAATTAGGCCAAATGGTTTGCCTGTAGGCCAGGTCACCAGGCAGAGATTCCAGAACTGTTCATTCTCTTTCTGCTCCCACCTCCAAAGGAAATGTTTCTTTGTCCCCAGAAACCACGTGGACAAATGCCAGCAGCCCGCAGGGATTAACCTTAGCCCTACCTTGGTAACTTAGAATTCTAGGGTCTCTGCAGCTAACAGATGCTAAATCTGAATCAGCTCAAGGACTCCGTTCCATAGTTATGTTGTGTGTTATGGAAATGCCTCGGTAGTAAATACAGTGTTTCTATTGTGTGGCTATAAAGCACCAGTTCCTTGAAAAAATTACCTGGAAATGGGAGTATTTAACATGAGAAGGATATAAAAGGAACTGACAACCTAAGGGAGGTGAAAAGGTCCAGGTTCTGAAAAGGCAGACCTTGGATTACTAAGTAGCCACACATCTTTCATTGGAGCAGATTTCATAGACAAGCTGCCCAGCCAAATCAAATGGGAATTAAAGGGATTCTGTGTAGCTAGTATAGAAAGTGTTTCAGAAGCACAAAGGCCACTTTAGTCACAGGAAACTGCCAGAGGGTGACTTATTTGGTGGAAAAGAAAACAAACAGACACAAGAGCTGGTGTATTTTTGAGGCAATATTAAATCTAATAAACATGACACCAATAGTATTGACTTAAATCGGGTTGGGCGAGTTGGAGAATTTAACAGCTTATCTTCCAACCACCAGCCTTTCTCTTAGAGGCAGCCTTGACAGCAGAGAACAGAGTCCAAAACATGTCCTTCTGTGACTCCTGCCAGGTGTGTGCCGTCCCCGGCCTCTGCCCTGGCCTCAGCTCTCAGACTGGAGATAATTAGAACGTCATTTCTGCCAGCTTTGTTTTTTCTGGGTCACTGACTTCAGACTTGACCAAAATAGGAGTGCTGTACTGAAATAAATTCATTTCCTCTTCCTCAGCCAGCCCCAGGTTATTTCCTGGGGGACCGTGCTCCGCAGGACCAGCACACACAGCTGCTGTACGGGAGCGATAGTGTATATGGAGGTCCAGAGCGAGGGCACATGGCGGAGGAGGCAGCGCCCTCCACAGCAGCAGGCTCTCACTCTCGCTCCCCCTCTCCCTCTCCCTCTCGGTGGCAGGGTGCTGACAGGCACAGGCCTCAGACAGACGTGCTGAGGAACACATCACAGCAAACTGCTCTGGGAGCTGTTAAAGCTGGTGTTTAATGTTTATCCAATGGCCTCAGTCTGAAAGGCTCTGTAGAACATGCGTAACACAGCTCAGCTTTATACTCCATTAGCATTCAGATTCCTAGCTGCCCAGAGGCATATGGTGCTGACCAGGGAAGGCCAGTCTCTGTGGAGGTCGAGGGCATGCAGAGACACAGGGGCAGAATGAGGTTGCTGGGTGTCTGGAAGAGACACTCAGAAACAGGGACAGAGAGCCCCAAGTGGTACAGGGGGAAGGCCAAAGACCACCTTTGTCCCCGTTACAACATCACCAGTTGCCCTCCATTAAGAGGCAAAATGAGAGGGAAGGCCTGCCTCACACTGGCCTTTGTCCACTTCATTACTGACTGAGCGTAAGGCCTCTTCCAGCCGGGGATGGAGTGGGCCTCCCAGCACAGTGGCAGTCCAGATCTTTTCAGTCTTTCAGATTCAGTAAGAAAAACAAAAGCTTCCTTGGCCTTTCACTCAAGGCAAGAAGAGTAGCCCCATTCCTGTTTCTATTTTGGCCAGGAATGGGCCAGATTTCTCCACCTTTGTCCAACCCAAGGGAAGAGCAATAAAGTATAGAGTAAGTGGGTGGTGGGGCACAGAGTACATGGAACACAGTTCTCTGAGAAGTGCCCAGTGATAAAATAGCTGTTGAGGAGATGTCAAGGCAGGTACTCGGCTGACCACTGTGTCCAGGAAGGAATGAGAGAGTGGAGCTGTGTTTGGTTGGCCTGTGTGTCCCAAGCGCCTAGCCCAGCATCTGGCCCAAGATACAACACACACACCCCAATCCTTTTGCTTCTAACTTCCCTTAACGTGTCTTAAATCCACCTTCATCTCTCTATCCCCACTGCCACCATCCTAATTCAGACACTATCATCCCCCACCTGGACCACTGCACGAGCCTCCTAACTGCGACCTGCCTCTTCTCCCACCTCCTTTTCTTTTCTTTTCTTTTTTTCCCCCACCTCCTTTTCTAGTATCATCTCAACAGCAAACAGTGTGATTCCTCTAGAACCCAGACGTGTCACAGTCCCACTTAAAGCTCTTTAGTGGCTTCTCACAGCCATCAGAATAAAGCTGCACATTCACATCCCTCCATTACCTGGTGTATTAGTGGGCTCGGACTTCTGTAACAAAATTCCACAGGGGCACCTGGGTGGCGCAGTCCATTGTGCATATGACTCTTGGTTTCAGCTCAGGTCATGGGATCGGATCCTGCATCGGGCTCCCCACTCAGCGTGGAGTCTGCTTGAGATTCTCTCTCCCTCTCCCTCTGCCCCTCCCACTCCTGCTCACTGTCTCTCTGTAAAATAAATAAATAAATCTTTTTAAAAAAATACCATAGACTGGATGGTTTTAACAAGAGAAATTTATTTTCTCACAGTTCTGGAGGACATAAGCTCAAGATCAAGGTGTTGGCAGCTTTGGTTTCTCCTGAGGTCTCTTTCCTTGGCTTGCAGATGGCCATCCTCTTACCATGTCCCCATGCTAGGTCTGCGCTAATGGAAGGTCCTGTCCCCAAAGGTTGCTGTTACAGTAAAATCGAGTTTCTCTGGCACTGTGTTTTCTGGAAGCCTCTATGACTTTGCTCTTCTATGTATCTACAGGACAGTGAGAGGGATCTGTATGTCATAGTGACACAGAAGCCCTAGAGCATTGATCCTCAAACTTGAGTGTGCATCAGAAGATGCTGGAAGGCTTATTAAAACACAGATGACTGGGTCTCACCCCCAGAGTTTCTGATTCAGTAGGTCTAGGTTGGGGTCTGAGAATTTGCATTTCTAACAAGTTCCTCAGTGTTGTTGTTGCTGCTGGTCTGGAGACCACACTCTGAAAAACACTGCTCTAGGGGATCCTTCTGGAAGTATTGAAAATGAATTTTCATTGTGTTGGAAATGGTATAAATGATAAATATGTTTTCCAGAACATTTGATCAACCATCCTCCCCCAACTTTGCCAGACAACACCAACGTTGCTGAAATTCCTGAGACGGGGGAACCAATAAGCCGATTTTTCTTTCAAGGTAGAACTGCCCCTGGAAAGATGTTGTAACCTAATGGTGTGTGTTCTGCTCTTTTTGCAGGTGCGATTAGAGTGGCCAACAGACCTTGCAGTCAATCCCATGGACAATTCATTGTATGTCTTAGATAACAACATTGTGCTGCAAATTTCTGAGAACAGGCGTGTGCGGATCATCGCAGGGCGCCCCATTCACTGCCAGGTGCCAGGCATCGATCATTTCTTGGTCAGCAAGGTGGCAATTCACTCCACTCTGGAGTCAGCCAGGGCCATCAGTGTCTCCCACAGCGGGCTGCTCTTCATAGCTGAAACAGACGAGAGGAAAGTAAACCGCATTCAGCAAGTCACCACCAACGGAGAGATCTCCATCATAGCTGGTGCCCCTACTGACTGTGACTGCAAAATTGATCCCAACTGTGACTGTTTTTCAGGTATGACCTTTTTAGCAATTCACCAGCTCCCTCTCTCTGTTTCCAAAAGAAAAACACACAACAGAAAGGCCAAAAGGAAAACTAAAGTGTTATTTCTGAACATTAGTGTGAGCGAGTGGAGAAAGCGATGGGTTGGGGCCACATAGCCTAGTATCTGGTCATTGCTCTGCAACCAACTGACCAAGTGACCCTGGGAAAGCCACAAAACCTCCTCATGACTCACCTCATCTGTTAAAGATGTCACTTGTCTCAGTTATATCACCTTGCTGTACTGAGGATAAGCTACTATAACAAAAGTTTGATACTCAAGTTAAAATCGCTATATGAATGTAAGATCATGACACTATTTGTACTTTGGAGAAAAGGAAACACAGTAAAATCTGCATATACTGATTTAGCTAAGGCAAAAATTACTTTCCTTAAGTGACTGGTTTCCAAATTAATAGGCCTTGCTATTTGAAACCCAAAAAGGGGTGCCTGGATGGCTCAGTCTGTTAAGCGTCCAACTCTTGATCTCAGCTCAGGTCTCGATCTCAGGGTTGTGGAGCCTACTTTAAAAAAAAAAAATCTGAAACCCTAAGAGACTAGAGCAGACTGCTTTGAAGATACATGGGCAAAATAAAATCCCACTGTGGAGGGTTCTCAGGACATCAGTGTACTACTTAGACTGTTTAAAAAATGACCAAAATTTTTGGGTGCCTTGGTTGGCTCAGTTGGTTAAGCATCTGCCTTCGGCTCAGGTCATGATCCCAGGGTCCTAGGATCGAGCCCCGCGTCGGGCTCCTCAGTAAAAAGCCTGCTTCTCCCTCTTCCTTTGCCGCTCCCCCTGCTTGTGCTCTCTCTCTCTCTCTCTCTGTGTCAAATAAATAAATAAAATCTTTAAAAAATATATATTAGTCTCTCTCTCTCTCTCTCTTCCTAGCCAATAGTGCCCTTTATTTCTAACTGAAATACATACATATATGTATATATACACACACACATATGAGTCTTTTCCCCAAAACATGGATTAGATACTCCGGATAGCAAACACTCCTCTAGATACATTTATTGCTGGGATGTAGAAATCCCTCCATGCTACCTGCAGTCCTATTAAACTGCTCATCTGGGCCCAAATGATTCTCTTAACCTTGCCTTTTCTTGGGCCAGAGGAATCACGAATGAGCAACTTGGTCGATACGACTTTTGATCAATATTTCCAGTGTTTTCCTGGACAATTAGTTTTATACTTATTTTGCTAATTTATGTCTTTCATTCAAGGCAAATCTAATGTTTATTCCAGTTATCAAATTTGATGTTCTGAATCATTGTTGCACTTACAGACTTAGTGTACTTTGACAATGTGACAATGGGAATTAGCCAAAGGGCGGTCCTCTAGGCACAGTAGAATTGGAAAGTCCTGAGGTAGGTAGGTAGGTCCACAAGGACTGACAGACATAAATCTCATGGATTTCCAGCCACATTTTGTGTGGTTTCCATTATTTGCTGTTTTTGTATCTTGTGATACAATAGATACTGAACAGCAGGATTGATGATTTCACAAAACTGGTGTTAACTGAGGTAATTGCATCTCACTGTTCATCTTCACTAACTGATTCAAGAATTCTGAATAAGTTTCAAATTTGTCAAGGGAGGGGCATGCAGAGAATAATGGTTCACTGACTGCTTTCAAATGATTCTTTTCTTTTAAAGATTTTATTTTTAAGTAATCTCTATACCCAACGTGGGGCTCGAACCCACAACCCAAGATCAAGAGTCACATGCTCCACTGACCAAGCCAGCCAGGTGCTCCTAATATGATTCTTGATGCACAGTGATTTCTGTATATGGTTATGTTCTTATAAATGCTTGTGATGACAATTATTAAAATCGTGGTCTTTCTCTCACAGGTGATGGTGGCTATGCCAAAGATGCAAAAATGAAAGCCCCTTCCTCCTTAGCAGTGTCACCTGATGGTACCCTATATGTCGCAGACCTTGGGAATGTTAGAATTCGTACCATTAGCAGGAACCAAGCCCACCTGAATGACATGAACCTTTATGAGATTGCTTCACCTGCTGACCAGGAGCTCTACCAGTTCACTGTCAATGGAACCCACCTGCACACCTTGAACTTGATAACACGGGACTATGTATATAATTTCACCTACAATGCCGAAGGTGACTTAGGTGCAGTTACCAGCAGCAATGGCAACTCTGTGCACATTCGCCGTGATGCAGGCGGGATGCCCCTTTGGCTTGTGGTGCCTGGCGGGCAGGTGTACTGGCTGACCATAAGCAGCAATGGAGTCCTGAAAAGAGTGTCAGCCCAAGGCTATAATCTGGCCTTGATGACCTACCCAGGAAACACGGGGCTTTTGGCTACCAAAAGTAATGAAAATGGATGGACAACTGTTTACGAGTAAGTTTCTCAACATAGGCTTTGTTAGGCTTTTATTTGAAACTGTATTATAGTAGGAAAATGGCTTAGTAATTGCTGGGTGTTGCATGCTATTTTCTCCTAAGAACCACAATAAAAAAATAAAAAGTCAAGGAGAAAATTTTACCTAACTCCTAGGGTTCAAACCCATTTCTCCAAAGCAGTTTTGCAGAGCATAATAATAAAAACATAGACTGAGTGAAGAATCAGGTGTGGCACGGCAGGAGACAGGAACGAGCTAGAAGCCCGAGTACTCAAGAAATTTACAGCATAGCTGGGAAAACAAGGTAAATTTTCATTTAAATAACTAAGAAATAGTTCTAAAGCAACAAGGAAGCAGTGTGGTTTAACTCGTATTTATTGATCCCTGTGGGGTTTAATGAATGAATAAATGAATGTGTGCCCAGCCCAGCCCAACTCAGTATAAGTTGCTGTGTGAGGTAATAGAAGTTAGAATATAAAAAGTGGGCCCTGGCAAGCGAGTGTGAACAGGAGAGGCTGCATGCCATTGGCTGCTTTGGTGAAATGTGAAGCCAGACGCTCCTGTACAGGCATGGGCTTCCTCAGTTTCCCGGCACAAGTTAAAGAATCTGGCACAGACTGGCATTCACAGACTGGATCTGTAATGACTTTGTTTAACTGGGAATTAACACAGGGTGTGTCTGACAGCAAGCTACTAGGAAGTGTCATGACATGGAAAGAGACCATTGTCCTTGCCTTTCCAAGCATGGACAACCTTGTTTGCAGGTCAACTCATTTAGAAAGCTACCCTGCCAACACTTGGCAAGCATCTTTTCCATGAAAGGGAATTGCTGAATTTTTAACCAGTGTACTGAGTGAAGATAATCTATGGAATCTGAACCCAGAGTCTGAAATGGCATTAAAGTTGAAAAGTGTGACAAGAGGAAATGTTAAGTATGAGGGGTTCCCAATGTGACTATTCTGTAAGGATGCCAAGAATATGAAGAGGATATGTCCAATCCCATGAAAGCCTCCTGAGGAAAGGGACAAAACAATCGGCCTTCACATTTTGGATCATTTCCCAAAGAAATGCCACTTATACAAAAAAGCTGGACATCTATTTTAGTTTCACTTAGAAATATGTATTCAGTTGTTTCTGTTGCAAATCTTACTCTATTGTTCGAAAAATTTCTCTTACATCTTAATAAGAGTAATAAAAGCCACTGTTCACTGAAGCTTTACTATGTGCCAAGTAGTAGGCTAAATGATTTACATACATTATTTTATTAGATCCCCAAAATAACAACATGGGGTAGCTGCTCCTGGTATGCCATTTTATGGATGAGGAAACTGAGGCACAGAACGGTTAACTTGTCCTGATTCACACAGATGTCCAGGTTTCAAACTCCCAACAGTCTGACTCAAACCCCCAATTTTTAAAGATACCACCCTAAAGAAAGATAAACTTTCTAATGAATCTTTTTCAAAAATTCATGCAAGATCACACCACAGCTGAAATTAGACAACTATTTTGAAAGCTAGTGGTTGGCTTCAGTCAAGCCACAAGAAATGGCAGAAGTATTAACTAGTTTTCAAAATAGCCAGTTCAACCATTCATTCCTTTAGTCATCAATTCATTACACTGTATACTTTACATATATACAATTTATTTGTCAACTATACTTCAGTAAAGCTAGAGGGGAAAAAAACAAAAACTAGTTCATTTATTTATTCAACAAATATTTACTGAGCACCTACTCTGTGCCAGGGAGTACAGCTGTGAACAAAACAGATAAAAATTCCTACCTTCAGGGCACCTGACTGGCTCAGTCAGTAGAGCATGACACTCTTGATTCGGGGTCATGAGTTCAAGCCCCACATTGGGTGTGGAGTCTACTTAAAATTAAAAAAAAAATTTTTTTTTTAATCTCTACCTTCATAGAGTTTACATTATACTTGTGGGAGACAAGTAAAATGTACGGAACTTCACATGGTGATAAGTTCTGTGGAAAAATAAAGCAGGGTAAGGGAGATCAAGAGTGTGAGGCAGAAGGGGTTTTTCTTTTGGGTACATGGTCGGAGAAGGCCTTATTAAGAAGGTGACATTTGAGTAAATACCTGTAGGAGGTGAGGAAGTAAGCCATATGGATATCTATGGGGAGGGAAGAGAGAGAACATTCCAGGCAGAGTGAACAGCAAGTGCAAAGGCCCTGCAGCAGGAGGCAACCTGACGTGTTCAAGGAATACTAAGGCAGCCACTGTGGCTGGAATGGAGTAAGAAGAGTGAGAAGATAAAATCAATGAAGTGGCCAGGGCTACTTCACGTAGGGCCTTGTAGTCCTCCGTAAAGACTTTGACTTTTACCCTGAAGTAAGATGTAGAACCACTGGAGATTTTTAAGTAAAGGAATGACAGAATCTGACTTACGTTTTTTTAAAAATCAGCCTGTATTGAAGACATCCAACGATGGTGGAAAGAGGGGAGCCCAATGGTGGAGAGGGGAGAGGTTTGCAATACTCCAGGCAGAAGATGGTGACTTAGACCAGGGAGTGTGGGCAGTGATAAGTGGTAAAATTCTAAGTATATTTTGACGGTTGATCTATCAGGACTTACGGATAGTTTGGATATGAAGTGAAGAGAAAGAGGGTTAGAGACAATGCCAAAGGTTTTTGCCTGAGCAACTGGATGATACACTTTCTATTTATCAACACAAGGAAGACTGCACAAGGAGTGCATTACACTGGGTGGGAGATCAGGAGTTCAGTTCTGGATATAATCAGTTTAGTTAGACTTCCAAGTGAAAACCAGCAAGAAACCAAGAAGGACAGTCTAATGAAGTAGGAAGAAAAGCAGGAGAGTAGGATATCCTGGGAACCAAGTAAAACAGGAAGGAGTGATCAGCTGTGTCAGATATTCCTGGTAAGTGAAGTAAGACAAGGACTGAGAATTGGCCATTCAATCTAGCACCGTGGACATCATTGTTTACCTTAAGAAGAGCGAATGTTGTGGCACCATGGGGGACAAAAGCCTGAGCAGAGCTGGTTTCAAAGAGAATGGATATACACATGTTCATAGCATTGTTGCTCATAATAGCCAAGAAATTTGAAGAACCAACGTCCATCAGGACATGAATAGGCAAACAAAATGGGGTACTTCCATACCATGGAATATTATTCATCCATAAAAAGGAATGAAGTTCTGACACATGCTACAACATGGATGAACCCCAGATACATTATGCTAAGTAAAAGAAGCCAGTCACAAAGGACAAATATTGTATAGTTCCATTTATATGAAATGTCCACAAAAGGCAAATTCATAAAGGCAGAGAGTAGGTGGGTGGTTGCCTGGGGCTGAGAGGGACTAGAGATTGGCTGTTAATGAGGGTGGGGTTTATTTTGGGGGTGATGGAATGTTCTAGAAGTGATAGCGATGACTGCGCTCATGGTGAATGCACTGAAAGCCACTGAATTGTATACTTTGAAATGGTGACTTTTATGGTATATGAATTATATCTCAATAATAATAATAAAGGGCACCTGGGTGGCTCAGTCGGTTAAGCATCTGCCTTTGGCTCAGGTCATGATCCCAGGGTCCTGAGATTGAGCCCCACATTAGGCTCTCTGCTCAGCAGGGATCCTACTTCTCCTTCTGCCTGATGCTCCCCCTGCTTGTGCTCTCTCTCTCAGTCTGTCAAATAAATAAATAAAATCTTTAAAAAAAAAAACCTTTAAGAAATAATAATATAAAAGAAAGTGACCGAGAGGAGAGAGATTAGAGACAGTGAGTAAAGAATTCTTAAGAGTGCAACCACTGTGGAAAACAGTATGGAGGTTCCTCCAAAACTTAAAAATAGAACTACCCTATGATCCAGGAATCACACTACTGAGTATTTACCCAAAGGATACAAAAACACTAATTCAAAGGGATATAGCAGCATTGTTTACAATAGCTGCTATATGGAAACAGCCCAAGTATCAAGTATCCATCAATGGATGAATAAAGAAGATACACACGTGCGCGCGCGCACACACACACACGCACATGCACAATGGACTATTACCCATCAAAAAGAATGAAATCTTGCCATTTGCAACTACATGTATGGAGCTAGAGAGTATAACGCTAAGCAAAATAAGTCAATTAGAGAAAGACAAATACCACAGGCTCTCATTCATATGTGGAACTTAAGAAACAAAACAAATGGGCAAAGGTTAAAAAAAGAGAGAGAGAGAGAGAGAAGCCAAGAAATAAACTCTTAACTATAGAGAACAGACTGATGGTTCCCAGAGGGGAAGTGGGTGAGGGGATGGGTGAAATAGTGGATGGAGATTAAAGACTACACTTATTATGATGAAAAATAAAATAAAATTATTAAAAACTGCCTTCCAGAAAAAGAAGAAGGTTATGGGATTGCAAGAGTGACCGTGGGAAGTCTGGAAAGCGAGATTTTCCCCTCCAGTAGCAGGAAAAGGAAGAGAAAGGGAGGCTAAATAGTCATTTCTTCCTTCTCCCTCCAGCCAGGATTATGCTGAAACCCTCCTGACCAAAAATCATCTGTGGAAAGTCCCCCTTCCTCCTGAAGCACTCCATTCTGGTGCCGAGCAGCAGCCCCCAGTGAGACACTGCCCCTGTCCCTTCTTACCTGCACAGAAAAGAATGAGCAATTTCCCAACCTATATAATGTAATTAATCCTGCTTACGGTCCTCTTTGTACAAAATCGGACTTCTTTCCCTTTTATCCCCGAATGTGTTAGCCAGTTCTGAACACTCCTTCGAGTTTTCCTTTGTCCTTCTGAAGCTGGGGAACACAGAACTGGACCTACTACTCTAGTCCAGGTCAGAGCCCTGCAGTTCTCTGAGGTGAGGAGGCTGCCTTCTGTGGCCAAAGGGGACAAATTGTTTGCCAAGGTGGAAATAGAAATTCTGTTCTGAGTTGAGAGACAGAGAAACAGAAACAGAAGCAAAATTTGGCAGGATGGAGGACGGCCACGTACAGGTAGCTAAGCCAGTAATCCATT